TTTGGCTCAGTCATGATCCCAGGGTGCTGGGATTGAGTCCCTCATCAGGTTCCCTGCTCAGCGGGGAGCCTGCTTCTCCCTCTGCCTGGTACTCCCCCTGCTTGTGCTCACTCTCTCTCTCTCTCTGACAAATAAATAAAATCTTAAAAAAAAAAAAAGAATGCCCTAACTTTCCCCTTCATTTGATCTTGACTTTGTGAGACATAAAGATGATAAACAGTATCCTTCCATGTGACCACATTCAAATTGAAGCACTCTTCACATGCCCTTGAAACATTCATACTGCTTATTATCCCAAAACTCAGGTATTGTGTTGTGGGCCAAGATGCCCATGGAAGTGTCTACATGTCACTTGAAATTGCAGCCATTTCAGGGAAGCAAGTAAACTCTGACTTTTCATTTAAAAGAATAGGGTAAGAGAATTAAATTATCAAAAATACTCTCAATTCCACAAGTATACTCTTTAGAGAGTATCCCTTTGTCAACTTTGGAAGTTTAGGGTAGCAAAATAATTTTCTTCAAAATAGATGAAAATATAGGGGTGCCTGGGTGGCTCAGTCTGTTAAGCGTCTGCCTTTGGCTAGGGTGCTGATCTCAGGGTCCTGGGATCGAGCCCCGCATCCGTCTCCCTGCTCAGTGGGGAGTCTGCTTCTCCCTCTGCCTCTGCCTCCTGTTCATGCTCTTTCCCTGTGCCTTGCTCTTTCTCTCTCAAGTAAATAAATAAAATCTTTAAAAAAAAAAAAGAAAATATATGAGGTCATTACCTCTCTGTCATTTTCTTATTGTACCCCATTCACCTGGGTCCCATTCCTTTTTATTCTCTTTCATGAGATCTTAACAGATAGTGGGTTTGGGGTCTAGAAAATGTCCATCTTTAAATCAAGATTAGTATTCACTGTTTTTTACACCGTAAGTCTAAATCTGAGAGAAAGGAAGAGATTCAGTGAAAATACTGCTGCTGTATGCATAATGATTTTCACCTGACACCATAAACTCCTCCCTATCTACAGGTGTGGGCACTTTTTTGTTTTTTTCTCTCCCTCCTCTTTCCACTGAGGACTAATTAGGGAAGTAGGCTTGAAGAATAAACTCACCATTTATGCAGAAGGAACCACTGACCTGATACAAACTGAACTCTCAACAGCAGGTAAGCATTTATTCATTAAAATAATAAATTTCAAATCATTAATTATAATTGCAAGAAGAAATCGGAGAAATAGAGAGGAGAGACGAATTTCAGCATTATACAGGAAGGATAAATCATAATTAGGTTTACGGGAAAAGGTTTGCTTTTTGTTTTTGTTTATCCGTTTTAAATTTTGATATGAGGAAAATAAGCATTACAAAATATAAAATCATTTGCATTGATAGGAGCACAACTAGAGAAACAGATAAGACAGGAATCTCTGAAGGGAAAGCCTATCTGAAAAATAATTACTAACACTGGATCACAAGTGCTTTAAAAAAATTTCCTTCCTCATTAACAAACGTTCCCCATTGTACTGTAAGTGCTATGTTACCTTATAAAAGCAGAAATCTTATACTTTATTTATTTATAAGAAAGGTCTCTCAGGAGAGTGTTATGCTTTCATTGTCTGATTAATGTTAATAAAATATTTTAGGTGCTTGTTGTGTGCTGATGGACGCTTCAGTGCCCCAAAGAAACTTGAGTTCCTAAAACTTAAATGAGTATAATTAATTATATTCCTTGACAAAGATTTCAGTTAGTGAGTCTGTTGTTGGTAACTGTTCAGCCAGAGGAATTACAAATCTTCACCTTCCAATTCTAGAACACATATGAATTATGGGGAATTCATAATTGATTGGTGAGATTATGACACTCTGATCTTGTAGTTCTCAGAATTAATGATTGTCATTATGACTTTCTAATATAATTTAAAAATCTGTGAAATATATTTTCTGCATCTTTGAGAATTTCTTCATTCTGCTTTGTGGTCTTTAAAACTATCTTTGTATTTCATAAAAGAAAGGTCCTTATGAAATTCATCTTTGTTTACTGGAAGAACATTGTCCATTGTTGTTCATTAATCATAGTGCCCTCTCTCTGTGAACCCATGGGAGAAATGTTTCTCTGATTTTAATGTCACCAATATTTGTCACTCTGCATAATTTGTGAATTGAAAGAGCTTCTTAGTCTAGAAAGGTATATCGAAACCAGATCAAGGAGGGTTTTGATTATTTAGAAGTTAGAGAATTTCATTTAGAGATAGTACAAGTGAAAAGTCAAGCAAATGCTATGGTAAAGAGCCTACGAATATTTTTTTTAAAGATTTATTTATTTTAGAGAAAGAGAGTGAGAGTGAGCGAGAGAGTGTGAACAGGGGCAGGGGCAGACAGAGAGGGAGAGAAATCCTCAAGGCAGAATCCCCATGGAGCACAGAGCCTGACGTGGGGCTGGATCCCAGGACCCTGAGATCATGACCTGAGCCGAAATCAAGAGCCAGCGCTCAACACTCGGAGCAACCTGGGCGCCCCAAGAGCATAAGAATAATTTTATGGACAAACTGAATCATGTAACTAGTCATGTTTGTTTCTCTTATGTTGGCTGCTAGAAAGCTTACAGTACAAAATGTGCTCTCACCTACTGCAAATCGCTTGATCCTCATTGTTTGTGGTGGTTATGTTCAACAAAGTCACAGGGATCACTGCCTGTAGGGAAAACATAAGATTAGGTTCCTGCAAGCCTCTGGTCACAATGTTTTCATCAGAAGATCAACACATAACCTTTTCTTTTTTTTTTTATTTACTTTTAAAGATTTTATGAATTTATTTGAGAGAGAGAGAGCACGCACAGAAGCAGGGGGAGGATGGAGGGAAAGGGAGAAGCAGACTCCCTGCTGAGCAGGGAGCTTGGTGCAGGACTCCATCCCAGGCCCCTGGGATCATGACCTGAGCTGAAGGCAGCCACTTAACCGACTGAGACACCCAGGCGCCCCAACACATAACCTTTTTTATGTGTATTTCTGTTTAAAGACACATTATTTAATACATGGGGTTTTTTTAAGATTTTATTTATTTATTTGACAGAGAGAGAGAGAACACAAGCAGGGGAGTGGGAGAGGGAGAAGCAGGCCTCCCGCTGAGCAGGGCGCCCGATGTGGGGCTCAATCCCAGGACCCTGGGATCATGACCTGAGCCAAAGGCAGACGCTTAATGACTGAGCCACTCAGGCGCCCCTATTTCATACATTTGTTGATTTTTTATTATCATTGAACTCACAGTCAAGAGCATTATAACTTATGCCTGAAGGAAGTTTATGTAACACATGTATCTTCTCAGTAAGACACATCACAGTCTTTTTGCACATAGGAACACTAGACAGCACTTAAGTACTGTGCTTGGGGCCATTTTAAGCAGTGAAGTCACCAGCAGAAAGCAAACACTGCAAAATAACGTGGCACAAATAGATCGCATAAAGGGCTTGTTTGGAGTATAAGAGCTGGAATGAGAGGTCAGCTTCTGCAACTTCAGCTGACAACGTTGGCATTAGAGACTCAAATATGTCCACAAATGACTGCGAAAGCACGGTCAGTATTGATTTGGGGGGTTCCAGGTAAATTTTAGCAAGTAGGTGAATTCACAAATATGGAATCCTACAAATAAAGAGGATCAACTCTGTATGTAGGACTATAGTCCTTATGCTTTGCCTGCTGGCCTTACTCTTGACCCCATATTACGTTTGCACCTCTATTTTCCCCTTGCCTGAATTTTAATTTAAACTTAATTTTTCTTCATATATTTTATCTATGTTTATAAGTGGTTTTAGGAACTTTGGGGAACAACCAGGCAATAAAGCAAATCACCAACAAGTACTTAGAATTCCTACTGTTTGCGCTATCTACTTTGCTATGTATCAGGACATAAAAACATCTCTAGGTACCAAATGTAATAAGAGATACATGATGAGTTTCTCTATGAAATAATTTTATCTTATTTTTTCAAAAATATTGAATTAGAATAAATTAATGTATTTAACATGAGGATCTACTAAAAAGTTAACATTCTGGGGCGCCTGGGTGGCTCAGTCGTTAAGCATCTGCCTTCGGCTCAGGTCATGATCCCAGGTTCCTGGGATCGAGCC